CATACAAATCCTGCGTGATGAAGAACTGATCAGACCCTCGAAATGGCAAGAACACCCTTCCCCCAATCGCGAATGCTCCAACTGGAACGAAGTCTGGTTGCCTCCGATGGGATTTTACTGCAGGGGCAGCCTCCAGTCTCAGGAAGCGGCAATCCAATCTGCAGCGCAGTTCGGTGGAATCCGGACGGACCGCCCGGTGTGCATTGGTGGCTCTGCACGTCTCCGGCAACAGCATTGCACTATACCCCGTGGCGGAGTGTACGCGGACATAGCCGCTTCTCATTACTATGACTGCATTCACGCCAAAGATGGCAGGTGGAAACTCCGATCTACGATTGCGGTGCCCAGCTACATGGGCATGTTCTGGTGAACAAATATGGCAGGACGGTATGATTTTCATGATGTACATCATGACGCTCCTCTTCCGGAAAAAGCGCATGGGGTTGTCTGAGGCTCATGTTTGGATTACGAGTGTTGCTTGCTTGATTGGTTTTATGTCTTGTGTTGCTTGCCGTCGCCGCATTTTAGTGATTACCGATTGATTTGGCCCTGTCTGTCGCATCTTCACCCGGATTGTGATGGATCATGGGGATCTGCTACGTGATTGCCGGCACATGCTACTCGCCATGTCATCGCAAATCAGTCTACTTCTGGCCGGACTGCAGCGTCTTGAAGGCCAACAGCGGCACCCACAGCCGCCCCCACCGCCACCGATTCCTGACGGCCATCCTCCTCCGCTACCTCCGCCGTCCACGACGCCGCCGCACTTGCCGGCAACATCAGTCCGGCCTGACTACATGGCAGCACCGGTCACTCTCGTGGCCACTTCGGACAACCGTGCGGAGCACCCTGCTCACGTACGCACGGTGAGTGTCAGCACCTCTTGGGAACACAGACGAAGGCGAAGATCTAGGCATCGAGAACCGCACCGGAGACGATCCCGCAGCCATCACCGACGGCTCCCAGACCGTCCCGATGATGCGGTTCCCACGTCCCGCCGACATGCCTACACTCCGAAGTATCCGCCGGCGGTCAAGGCCATGCCGGCTTGCCGACCATCGGGTCTGTCGTATGAACGGTGACGGAGCACCAGCGATAAAAGTGCTTCAGTATTTTGCTACATGCATGTCTGTAAGCATCATGTCTTTACCGTGCCGCAGCCTTACTTGCTTGAGTTGACCTTGCTGTTTGTTCGGTTGCCATGCAGTTGTCAGCCGAGTTTGTGAATAACCTGGTGGCGGTACTCAATGTCCTTGCATCCCAAGTTGCGACAGCTCTGGACACCCTGAACTTTGCCCTGATGACTGAGCGCAGCCATCCGTCAGAAACTATAGTGACTCCCAGGGCACCACGGAACTCCAGACATGGGCTGCGGCCCCGCATCACAGAGCGCATTTCGTCTGACCGATCTCGTTCTCCCACTCGACTTCGAGCCCGACCTTTGGACACGTCATCCACATGGTACATACCGGCCTTATCCCCGCCTCGTGCGGCACATCGGGATGCTACTGACAACAATTCTGGTCCTCGGCCTGCATCGATGTTGGATCACCTGCCACCACCTCGTCCACTTGCTCCCTTCGCCACACACGGTGGCCGAGAGCCAGGACAGATGACGCCTACGACACCTGACTCGGATTCTGATGACTCGGTGCGACCACATCCAGGTGCCTCGTCGTTCCGGCCGTCTCCTACGGTGGTTCATGGTCCTCGGGAACTTCTACAAGAATTCACCATTGCACTTCGCAATGCATACCGTGAACCTTTCACGGCATGGACACAGGGTGAGCTGGATGAGATGGTGCGACGGAAGAAAGACAAGGATTCCAGGCCCACCTATAAGACCATTGCTCGGTTCCTTCAGAAGCCCATTGAGGAAGTCAAGCAGGCATGGAAGGTCTATCAGCAACTTGAGGCTCGCGGCTAGGAACGCGGTCGTCAAATGCTACATCGACCACCGGAGGACTAAATGGTAGGCCGTGGCGGCGTGTTCGGCTCGTGTTATTGATCGCATGAGATTTGCTTGCTTGCTCGTGACTTACATTTTCCTTGGAAATATTGCTTGCCGGGTTTTGGGTGTTGCCGTTGACGTGAAGTGAATTCATGACTGAGTTGCTCAAATCATGTCGGAACAAGTTGTACAGACGTACATCACCTGGACCCATGGAGCACAGCCGACGTGGTTACAATTTCACGGACCCGGGGCCTTACTTGACAGACCCATTCGGCAGACTACGTCACCTCCGCCCCCGCTAAGTTTCCCATTGCTTCTTCCACCTCCTCCTCCGCCACCACCACCACCACCGGTGATTCTACACCCACAGTTTATGCCCTCGGTACGCAGTCCCTCGCTCTCAGCCCCTCGCGGACAATCCTGCCCTACCTCTTCGAAATCGCAGCGCACACGCCGCTCGATCTACAGCACTGACCATTCCCATGATGAAGAACTACGCAGTCCAGGGCGCTCGTCCAAACGATCTCGGACAGCATCCGCTTCGGCACCGCGGCGATCTCGACGGCCCTTTACAGTGTTCACCTCCAAACGTGCTGGCCGTCCATCGCTGTCCCCATCGGCAACTTGCAAACATTACTGTCACGCCATCCTGCACCATGGGCGGAAATGTCTTTCCCCTTGTGATCGCAGACGACCAGGACACTACCATTGCAGGTGTGCGCGACATCAACGGCGGTGAAGCCTAGGAGTCGGACATTACAAACCTCGTTGCTGTGTTTCACCTTGAGTTTGAAAAAATTGCCTCACTCTCCAGCAGCTGTGCACGGTTGTCATTGCATGTGTGTCTTTGCCGCAGACTTTCGATTGCTTTCAGCGGCCGCGCGAGAACCTGCCTTGCCGCTATGAACCCTCAGTATTTCGAGTACCAGATCGACAGAGGGCTATCGGAGAGTCGCTGCCCCTCAAGCTGGTCATGAATTTGACTCCATGTATTTTCCTGATCATCACAGCGTGGCCACGCAGTCTGCGGCATTGAGTATGTCACCGCAGCTGTTAGAAGCGATTCTCAGGTCCTCGGATGCGGCTGATTTCTCTACCGAAGAACTGACTCGTCTCCAAGAGGGGATTTCTCAACAACTGACAGCTCGCGCACGTCACGCTTCCCAACCTCATCAACCAGTCCGTGCATCGCGTGGAAACACACCATCGGAAGCGGTTGGGGTCTCTGAGAAGGCGAGTCCCATCTTCGAGCTGACTGAGGACTAGACTCGCACGAGTGGCACAGCGTACAAAATAAGGGTGGTTTTACATTTGCATGATCTTGCTTGGTTGTTGCTTGTACATGGTTGTGCATGGTGCCTGTTCCTCTATCAGCTGGATCGGAGCCCGCGACAATCCTTGCCTCTCACTTCAACATGGACATCGATGATTCGAAGCAGCACCCATGGCTCGAATACTCGGTCTGGCAGGAACAGGAGTGGGTGCGGATATACACTCCAGGACAGCCTCAGCGATGGCACCGCGGTGACACTGTACCTGATCTACCTGAAAATTCTTTTCGGGAATGGCAGCGGGTGACTGATCCCGATGAGCATGTCCAGGCGTGGAACATCCGCGACTGGCAGCATCAGGGATACCAGCGTATTCTGTCTCGGATGGAATCCTTCGCAACTCATTATCCGCATGATCAATCTCTTGCTCAAGTTCGGAACTCCGATGCCGTTCCAATTGAGGAGACGTTCACCTACGCCACCCCGTTTTCCCATGGTGATCGCCAGGCTGCTTCGCAACTCGCTTCAGTCCTCTATGGCGACACTCGTAACGCTCAACGTGGTGATCTCTCGTTCCCGTCTTCTGAGCGGTTTAGGGCTGTGTCTCGCTCCCCTCGCCGTGGTGGATATTTTGGTCAACGATAGAGACTCGGGTTGGAGCATGTGAGCTTCCTGCAGAAAAAGAGAAACCTCGCCCCTCATTGAGGGGCGTGTGTGTGCGGAGTGGCAGAATACCCTGCCACCAAAACCTTTTTCCGCTGCAGCAGGGGGCGCAGGGAGTTTCAGCGAGTCCTGCGCCAACGAAGACGCTCGCTGTTAACTCGTGATATCCAGCCTGATCAGCTGGACGTACCTGCAATTGTGATGTTTGTGAATGTCCTTTTGGTCCCCCCCTGAACCGCCGTTGCTTTGTGTGCCCCTGTTCAAGTAACTAGAGTGAAGCTGAGTGATGTGCGAGTCGAAGCTCACCATACTCGAGACTCATCAGTTGTACTCGAAACTCATCAGTTGTACTCGAAAGATTAGCACTCTCCATCTGGAGTTCAAGTGTGTGTGTGTGTGTGTGTGTGTGTGTGTGTGTGTGTGTGTGTGTGTGTGTGTGTGTGTGTGTGTGTGTGTGTGTGTGTGTGTGTGTGTGTGTGTGTGTGTGTGTGTGTGTGTGTGTGTGTGTGTGTGTGTGTGTGTGTGTGTGCGTGTGCGTGTGCGTGTGCGTGTGCGTGTGCGCGTGCGCGTGCGCGTGCGTGTGTGTGTGTGTGTGTGGGTGCGCGCGCGGTTTTTGTTTTGCTTTTTCATCTTGGGAAGGGACACAAACAAGAAAAGCACCACTTTGGGGGGCCCCTTGCTTGAAGTGTGTGTTTCGTTTCGCGTTCCTCGAATTATGCCATGGTTGTGGAAAAAGGCTTTGTCTGTGATATCAAAGTGGGGCCATCTCCATGACTTGTTTGCCTCTTTAAAGAGGACTCAATTAAAGTGGCCCTTCACCCGTTGACCACCATCATGCCCAAGGAGAGTTGTTTGTTTTGTGTTCCTGGGCTCTCTGGAATGTGTGTGCACATGCTATAAGAACACCAGCCTTCGGCATTCAGCTGTTCTTCCTTTCCATGCTGCGGCAGACACACGCACAGAGACGCACACAGTTTGTCACTTGATTCGGCGAAAGGCACCTGCCAAGATGGTTGTAGAGGAATTGCTACAAGTGAATCGTAGGACCATCGACTTTGGAACCGGGTCGCTTTACCCTTTTCTTGTGTTCCGCGTTGTGCAGTTGCGCGTGCCTGAAACAGCAGCACGGCCATGAGGAGGAAAATCATCATGTGGACCTCAGCCGCATTGTTCCAACAAGCCAGCTTACCCAACCTTATCCAAAAGCAGAACCCGCTGATATACGCGGGACTTCCCTACTTGGCCGCAAATAAGACCTAGCCGTTGCCTGCCGTTTAATGTGCAATCGTGAACGGGAAAGCATCCGGCTCGCACTGTCTCAACTGCATCATGGAACGCTCGCCTGACATGTGCGAACGGCTTCTTGGGGCGCCACCCAGCACTCTAGACACCTCTTTTTTGCCAATAGTACAAGGGGCCAAATAATTACACACGTTGTTCTACTATGATGAAAACTTGACTGAGTATTTACCCCAGCCCAGGGTGAACCAACATACATCATTTCAGGTCATGTTTCAGATTTAGTGAACCTGACAAAATATGAGGTCATATCCGAGGAATCGGAGGAGACCCCTGATTCTGATTGTTTAGGTCAATTGTCCGGTCGAAGTCGAGATGCGGTTTCAAACGACTCGGCCACAGGATCCGCGACTCCCATCTCGTCCAAGCTATCTCCAAAGACCTTCTTGCCCAGCACGTCCTCGCTCCAAAATCGTGCCGCTTCTCAGCTAGGCTAATGCAGAGTGCAAACATTTAGCTTCTATGTTGCAACTCATTCCCAAGAAAAGGCAACATTTCGACACCCGCAAAACGCACACAGCGGGGCCCAAAACCGCGCCGCCTCCGTGATGTGGCTCTGGGTCACCAGGAAAAGGAACATGCCTCGCAGCGTGCGCGTTCTTTCGGACAAGTTAAAGCCAATCTCGGGCTAAGACAGGGTCGCCTCCAAAAGGGAAACCCCTCCCGCCAGAAAAAAGGCGTTTGGCGCTGCTTGGGTGTTCCTTTGGCTTACCCAGCCAAACCCAGAAGGGTACCCCAGAAAACAACACAAACCAAAATGAGCCTCAAGGAAACAGGCTTTGCCCAGTGGCCATGGGAGCCCGCTTTTCTTGGTTGCTTGGGAATGGAAGGGGCCCACTGCAAGAATTCAGGGATTCCTAGAACTAGCATTGGGAAGCATAACACATTATTCCAGCTATTTCATCAGTTTTCAGGAACATCGCCTGAAAAGGAAATTCACTTTAAAAAGCCTTAACCATGCTTCAAACCTCCAAAAGCAACCTAATGCACCCTGAGTTTGGCGGCATGAAACCACCGAGCATTGCAACTGAGCTGTGAAGCCCTTTATTTCTGCTGGCGCCACCCAATCCAGCGAAATGAGTGCTTCTTTATTTGAGGGCGCTTCTTCAGGCGTGTCAAAGAGACCACTCCAAAAAGAAACCATCCACTTCGGGGGTTGCCCCAGTGAAAACAAAATCGTGAACTTCCTGAATGATGATGTTTCAGCGCAAGGGATCGATTGTTTGACCCCTCGCTGGCCCCACCTTGGAGGTCGAACCAACGACGCACGCGGCTTAGCAGCAACGCCTTCAATGATACTTTTCTGTCGGGGGCGCTCCAAACGGAACCTCCTCGACCCGGTGATTCTGATTTAAGGCAAGGAGATGACACGACCAAGAGATGGCCGACCTCCTCCCATGCGCAGTCACGCGCCTATGAAGCCAAGGCCGGAGAACTCCCTGAAAAGGACATCCATGATCTGCCTCGACTGTGAACAAAGGAATTGCTCGTGCGACCCACGGGCAAACAACAAATCCCAGGACACCTTTTAGTTGGATTCGCTGTAGCGGACATGCCCCTAAGTTTGAGTTGCTTCATTGCAAAGGGACACTTTGAGCCAACGGCAAACTGGGTGCCGCTCCATCCTCAATGGGGTGTTTTCTCACAGTCGCGCGATTTTGAGCCGACGGAACGGAGGGGTCCCTTTTTCGGGAGTAGGTGGCTCAGGTGCAGGGACCCGCAATGATCAACAGAATGCCTCAGCTCGTGCAACAGGCTCATGGCACACCAGAAGTTGCCGGACTCCGGCCCATACATTCCACGCTTGCAACCGGTGCCTGGTTGACGGTTTCAAGCCATTCAAGGAACGGCGTCTTGGGCATGCACGTGCAGACTTGAAGGCTAGAAAACATAGAACCCTTGCCGTGCCCATGTTAAGGCTTGTAAATTGTAGTGCTCTAGTCAGGCCGTAGCTGCAACCCTGCTTGGGACACTGCGGAAAGGGACCTGAAAGCCCTGCGCCCGCCCCCTCGCAGTGCGCAGCCGCAAGCTGAGACGTCAGGTCAACATTATATATATACATATATGTATACAGATGCATACATCTATATACCTACATACATATACATGTGTGCAAAAACATGTACGGCCTATCCTTTCACCATTCTCCACCTCAGCTTTGCCCCCAACTGTTGCATTCTGGTCTACAGTGAACCTTAAGATGTAGGGTCAGAAACTAGCATCCAGACATTCGGCACCCAGTTTGGCGCTCCCGTTGCCAATGCAGGATCTTGAGTCGAGGAGCCCTCCGACCTTGTCCCCAGACGTGTCCATCTGGTGGCGCACCCAATGCTGCACCCATTCGAAAAGCGCCGACAGTAAAACCACCAGGCTGATTTCGGCCTCAGGTTCGTCGGACGAGGCAAACGAGTTGCCCAGACAGAAAGGCACATGGGTTCCACTGCACAATAATAGAAACGCGATCTTTCCCTATTTGCAGAAATTGGGTCATCCCTACTGACAAGGGATTCATCAACGAAAGTGATGCTACCATCCTTGCCGTGTTCTACAACCATCCGGTGAAAAGGACATCAGCTGCCTGATCGACGTCAGCAACGGCAGCAAGCGGCCGCGATTAAAGCTACATGTCAGCTGTCTGTGCGAGAACTGTCTCACCATCTGATGCTGGATCAGCCGCCACCCTATGTTGGCACTTGTGTGTTTTGAGAAACGTGCGAGTGCCCGTGCGTAAGTGCGTGCGCGAGCGAGGGCTTGTGTCTGTCTGTGTGCTTTTGCTTGTCTGTCTGTGTGTGTGTGTTTACGCTTAAACTTGTGCTTTTGAAGGGATCCCTGTTGGCTGGTTTCGCAAAACTTTCGCGGTCCCCCCCCCCAATTTGATACGATTTTTCTCAGCTTGTCTTGAATTTAATTGCCGCTAGCTAACTGTGAGTGCTACAAAGAGTAGCCATTGCGCACGTGCATACGTGTTTTTACCTTTTAAGAGCACCACTTTCAGTTTTGTTTAAGGGGAATCCAACAGTGACACCTTTCTTTTGAGGGGTCTACTTTGAAATAAGCCCATCCCCTTTTAGTTTCCTCGCGGCAAAAAACAACAACATGTGGCTACGCAGCACCCAGGCAACATACGTAGCTTTTGAGTTCCAAAAGGGCGTTCACGGGTTGTCAAATGCACGGTGGTGCATCTTTTGGGGTGGTGGGTGTCCTTGGCCATGGGTGGTGGAATTCCCTGAGTCACTCCCAAGTCACAACCCTGGCTACCACAGGGCTGCTGGTCTAACTCATTTCAACATGGCCAAACATGTGAGGTTCAAATCAAACAAAGAAGGGCATTATTAAGTTATAGAGCTTCATATCATAGCTGTCGACGTCAGCTTTGAAAGAAGCTACTGGACGGGGCCAACTGGATACGAAGGCACACCCTCACCAACATGGAAGTGCACTGCCCTTTTTCAGAATACACATTTCCTCTTGGAAAGGGGACTCCGGGGCTCGTATGCTCCCCCATGTTTGGCGGGGGGGATATCCATTTGCCCGGCAGGTTCAGGTCGCTGAGGAGCTGGCAAAAAGCAGCCATGGACAGAGCGTCACCTCCTCGACGAATTCCTGGACGCTTTCCAGGGGGCTTCATACAGAGTGCTCGGGACCAAGGCGGGTCTTGTAGATCCAATAGAATGAGGCGCGAATAGACGAACCATGATTGATGCCACAGTGCTGCTCGCCAAAAGCAGAAACACACGCGAATTCCCTTGAAATCCTTTGAGGGAAAAGCCATGGCTGTATTTGGTGTCCTTATAATTTTCACACGGCTGAACTGTTTTTCAAGCAACCTGGTGATGCAATGAGACTGTATCAACCGCTTGCCTCATCAAACTGAAAAAACAACTTTGTTGAAGAGACAACTGAGTCCCCCTTCTGAGCCGCTCCCCTACTACTAAAACAACAGAAAGGGACCAGTGCCTTGCGGCAATGGAAGTCGAAACATCTCCAAGTTGCAAGATCATACTCGAGAGTTAAAAGGGCCCTCCGGTGGTGAACCGTAAGTTCGGAGGGAAATGATTCTAGAAGCTTCCGAATTAAAGGGCCGCTGTGGGAGAGCTGGCTTTTCCCAGCAGAACTTGTCTTGGAGAAAAGAAGATATCCCACTCTACTTTTCGGGCCTCGAAGATAGACTCCTCATGATGGTCGCCTGGCAGACAGGCAGCCACAAAAAGCACGAGCGTATGATCGCCCAAACCAGCCGAGCGGTGTTTCTAAGCCCGGATTCTTTCAAACCGTAGTCGTTTGGAGCCGGCTTGAATGCCAGTATTGATTGCTGTGATTATGCGGGCCAGCACCCGTCACAGTCCCTGCTGATGTATCACGTGGGAATGCCTTTTCGTTGGGGACCCTTTGGTTGGCACTATTTGCAGCAAGTTGAACGTAGCGCCTTTGTTGCCCAGCAAGCAGCAAGAAGTCTTGCATCGCATGCCAAAATCAAGTTGTCTTTCAATCCCCTACTTGGGACCATGGGGACCCCCCCTCCATACATTCCCTTGCGCGCACAAAGGAAATATGGGCAAAGGCCCTATGTTGAGGCCGCCTCCCGCCCAACAGGTGGATTTCTATTCTGCCCTTTGCGCCAACAGTTGGTTTTGGAAGCGGATTTGACGGTTTTGGAGGCAACAGAAGTCTTGGGACAGAGGCAAGCGCTTCTCCCAAGCCAACTCCCCGTAGCTGGAAAATAGTCGAACCACGCCGGACAGGCCATGGGGGTGGTGCTCGAAGTTTTCGTGCACCTGGCAGGTGAAGCGGCTAAGCGGGATCAGGGTCAAAG